CTTTCCCTAGAGAGACACGTGCAAATGTGAGCGTCATCCCAGGACAGGGGTCCTGTTCTCCATAACCCTCGTCCTACCCCGATGCCGACGGGGTCGTTAATTGCTGTTTACTATTAGGTTTCGTGCGAACCCTTAGCTTGTAGAGAGAAAAGGCCAAACAGAGGCCAAGAATTGTTGCATTCTTGGGTAAAAGAAATCCAGACATCATCCAGAAGCTTTGCAGCCAATGCTGTATAGCTTTATTCTGACCATGTTCACCACATCGGAATCCAACAGATCAAATTTATCTGAGGATTGTATGTGGATTTGGGGTTCCCACTCCTCTCTAGCTTTCCCTCCCCAGTTAAAAGAAGGACGTTTTTCTTGAGGCAGGCACATTTCAAATGTGTTAGTCAGCCTTTCAGGTTTCTGTGTTCTGTTCTTCACTTATAGAAGTTCCCTCCTAACCTGTCTCCCCAAGAGGGAAAACTGGCAGACATTTGCCTGTAGATTCCCTCAGTAGCAAAGGAACATTTTTCCTAAACATTTCCTTTTGAAAGGGTATTTTCCTGTGACCTGCGACCCATCCCCAATCATGGTTAAGAGGGAACCAGGAAAGGTCACTCCTGCCCCAGTTTCAGCACCTGGGGAACCTCATCCGGGAGAAGGGAAAAGGCAAGGAGGCCCTCCTGGAGGTGGCTTCCTTGGGAGCGCCAGGCCTCCAGTCAGCGGGGGCGGGGCGGGGGGAGAAGGGGCTCCTGTCGGGGAGGAGGCAGGACCTTAGGGGGTCTGGCCTGGCACTGAGGACGATCTGCTCTCACAGCCGAAGCTCGTCGGTACGTTCTCCCCCTTGCCTCATTCCTGTCCCTTTGTTGGCCTCCTCGGCTCGGGTCTGCACGACCCCCTCGGCAGCAGGGCTCGCGCCACAAAGCCACCCCAGTCTGCAACCGCTCTCCTTCCTCTGCTAGTTCTCCGCCTCTGGGCTCCTCTCCCTCCACCTCTCTTCCTCCCTCCGGGCCTTTTTCCCGGCCATCGTGGGTGGAGTGTTTTTCTTGGGATCACAAGCTTGCGCTAGCACACAGGGCCGCTGCACACGGGCCGCGACCGACCCGCCTCCGCGCACTGCTCCGGGCTGGCCGGGCTCTCGAGGTCGAGCCGACTCCGCCCCGGCTGGTCGCCCAGAGCGCCGCTCTCCCGGTGCGGCTCACAAAGGCAGCCTCCTCTGGCCTCGATCCCGCAGGCTTCCGTAGCTTGCTTGGTTCCTTCACCACCACGAAATCCTAGGGCTCATTTCGCCGGGTGGGAGACCCTAGGTCCTCGGGACAAGTAGGCCAGCGCCCCACGACGCGAGCTAAAGTCTCTTTAAACGCCCGGGGAGAGTGCGTGAAAGGCGAGCTCGGTCACTATTTAAATGATCGCTTGCAAGCGGCTTGTCGAGCTCAAAGCGCCTCTTTCAGGGCTCTTCTAGTAGTAGAAAGGGAAGGAGCGAGGAGGAAGACAAAACGCCGCCGAGGCCCCGAGCTGTTCATGGCATCCGCGGCTCAGCCAAGCTGTTGTTTTAAAAGAGCAATAAAAATGAATTATGACTAAACGCCTTCTAACTTAATGCTTTCGGACGGGGATTCCCGGCAAATACGTAAGAGGATTTTTATTTGTGCATGTGTTCCTGCAATTGATCTCTTTGATGACATTCTCATTCATAGAAAGCGTTTGATTTATGAGCGTAGGATGAATCGCAAACAGCAGCGGCTAAACCCTGGCCTCGGCCGGGCCGCCTGCTCCGCTCCGCGCCTGGGGCAGGAGACTTGCCCGGGTCCCCACTCGCCTCCGCCTTTGCCGGGATTTAGGGGGCAAAAGGGTGGGGGAAGGTAGGCAGCAAACCCGGGGAGAAGGATCGCGATTTCCTCATAACTTCCAAGCCTTTGCTATTAAGAGCCGGGTTCTTAAATCAACCCGCCCCCCACACATGTTGCTTACTCGCTGCCTTTTCTCACGGTAAGTAGCCATCGGAACAGAGCTCAGTAAGGGAAAAATAAACATGGGGAGACATAAGAAGGGAGAAAAAAACAGAATAACCCAGTAACATCCCTGGTTCACATTTTATTGATATTTCATTTAAAGTGCTTTTTCTCTTTCTCTCGCTAGAAACTGGGTTAATTTATAACCTGGGGGGTAGAAACACTCCACTTTAAATCTCATCTTGCTAACCTGACTTCAAAGCTTTAATGATCCATTATTTGCCATGTAAACAGATTTAAGAATGAAATATTGATTTTTATGACCCTGAAAAAAAAAGAAAAGAATCCTAGAATGACTGAACCAGAGGATTGCGGGGAAAAAAAAAAAAAAAAAAAAAACCCTTTTGAAGTGCATTTTCCAGTTAGTAACCATTGTTTTGTATTATTTTTGTTTTTCTGTTTTAGGTCTGTTTGCCTGGACCCATCAACAGCTGGGAGACTAATCAACCACACTGAAAATGTCTGGGGAGTTGTGGGGGAGGGGTTTGGAATGTAAATGTTTGAAACAAATGTGTATAAATAAATGAATTCTTGATAACTTAGTTATTGACCTGGAGACTGGTAGCTTGTAAAAGAAACTCCATGTTCCTCCTTCCTGGAGTTGGAGGTTTCTGTAGGCACTTTATTTCTCCACTTTCAAAAGCTTGGGCTTGGCCCAACTCTGAGGCTGCCCAATCCTGTTTCTATTACCAATTTAAATCTATGGCTTGAATCTCTACATTGAAAAAACCTAATCCATTCCCTTAAAAAACAAAAAAGCCACACTTCTCAGAAGCCCTAACCATTTTCTGGCTTTCTTTTTTTGTTGCTGTCTATTGAAGACTTTGAACATGCCCATTTAATAAATATATTAAAATTGAAAAAGAAAATGGATTGTGACCAGAATTTTATTTACCAAGTTAGACTAAAAGAGGAAAAAGAAACTGTTATGAGCCTTGAGAAAGAGGGGGAGGAAAAAAAATAAGAAAGCTACTTATAGCAAAGGAGAATTTATTCTACCAAAAATACGCATGACAATGCATCCTAATGTAATACAAAAATAAAAAGAAAGTGAAGATACAATTATATGATCACTTTCTTGCAGGCCTCATATATTGCTTTCAGGAAATCACATAGAGGGTTGTTGGATTAGATTTTAAACAACTAAAACTCCAAAATAATCTGAAAAAGATGGCTCTGTAACTGGGTTAAGGGAATCTAAACAGAAAAATCTTCAACATTTAAAAGAGGGAGAGGGTAAGTCGAGACTAAAATAAAATAAAAATTAACTCTCAGAATAAAGGAAGGCAAAACCACCCGGTCAAAGGGGTTTTTGTTTTGTGATGCTTTGTTTTGCTTTAATGTTTTTAGTAATTCAGATGCTGCAAGTCGATTGTGGTGAGTGTGTCTGTAAAAAAGTCAAAGCTGTCAGCTGAAATATCTACAGGACTGTCGAGGGAACCCGGCAAACTGGGCGAGACTGCGTCTGAAAGCTGCAGGCAGGAATCTGTGGAAAAAACGTTAAAGTCCTGCAAAGAGGGGACCTCGAGGGCCTCGGGACTGTCATTGTTTAGGCCAGAGCCACAGTTCTGGCCCATTGTTGACAAGCAGTTAGGAACAGTGGGTGACTGGTGCTGAAAATGTTTCAGATTTTTTTCATTGCTGGTTAAAGGCGAAACTGGGAAACTTTGGGAGTCACCATTGTGTCCATTAGGAGCCTGCTGCTGAGAGAGGGCATTTTGCTGAAAAGTGTAACCTTCCCTCTCCAGAAGGGCCCCGGAGACGCTGAGGGCTTGCTCAAAGAGCGACTTCTCTTCCTCGTCCTCCTCCACTTTCTCAGAGTCTTCGAGGATTTTAAATTTTCCCTCGCTGTTTTGGTTCTCCTTGCACTGGGTCTGCCTCTTGTGCTTCATCCTCCGGTTCTGAAACCACACTTTCACTTGTCTCTCAGTCAAATCCAGCAGCGCTGCAATTTCCACCCTTCGGGGTCTGCAAAGATACTTGTTGAAATGAAATTCTTTTTCCAGCTCTAAAAGCTGCGTGTTGGTGTAAGCAGTTCTCAGGCGCCGGGAGCCCCCGCCGCTGCCATCGGCGATTTCCAGGGATTCTGCGGAAAGGGAAACCAACAAGAGACACACGCACAGTTGGAGGTGGAGGGGTCCGAGCGGGGTTATTCCACTGGAGAATAAATATAGCAGAAAAGATCAACTGCAACAAAATGGCCGCCCCTAGATGCAGTAAAGCTATTGTGCTGCCTTTCCTGGGAGCCCAGCCCGGGGAGACCCCATCTCTTCCACCTCCATCAAATTCTTGCCTGTAGCTCCCCCCAACCTCTCCATCCGGGAGCAAACTTTATATTAGCCACACCACAATTTATAATTAATGCATCAGCTGCTTAGCTGAGCAAGAGCGATCTATCACTCTTCATTACTGTCAAAAAGCCAAACTCTAGGACAACTAGACAAGAGGAGGTCAGTTCCAACTCAAATAAATCATCCCACATTACACAAGTTAGGGAAAGTTCCCCCACCCCCTTCTTAAAATATATATATAGTACATATATATATATATATATATATATATATATATATATATATATAAAATCATTGCGGAACGCAGGATCCCTTTTCTCAACATCAAACCCACTCCTGAGCCCACAGGGGAAGGGAAAGCAGCCAAGCATCTCTCTCTCTCCCCCTTCTCTCCCAGCCCTCGCTCCCCTCCCCCCATAACCGCTCTCGGGGCAGCCCAGAAGGGGAAGAGGGTCCGGGGACCTGGGGCCAAGTCTTTGGACTGACCTTTGTGGCTGAGGCAGGCAGGGCCGGTGGCGGCAGCGGCCGAGGCGGGCGGCAGCGCGGTTTTCTTGGCCGCCTTCTTCTCCTTCATCCAGGGGTACTCGGGCGGCTGCAGGGCGCCGGCGGGCACTGGGCTGCCGCGGCTGCCCGCGGGGCTCGGCTTGGGGCGGCCGCCAGCGCCGTGGCGAGGGTGACTGCCCGGGTTCAGGCTGGGAATGGTCTGCTCAAAAGGAGGAGGAATCAGTGTCGAGTGTGAAAGCGTCGAGGTCTTGATTGATGAACTTTGAAATGTATCAGCGACAGGGGGAAAAGATGTCAGGCACTCAGCGAGCGACGGCTGGCTATTGATAAAACCAATCTCTCGCTCAAATTCGTAATTCATGGCCTTCTCCTTGGAGCCCCCTCGGAGAAAAAGTTCCCTCTTCTGGAGGGGCTTTGGGGGGGCAAGGCCCAGGAAAAAGGCGAGCGCGGAGGGAAAAAAAAAAATCTATCATAGAAGATCGCTGCTGGGGTGTTTTTTTTCTAATTCACTGATTACAGCCGTATGGGGACCGCGCTACTATTAAACTATTGAATTCATGGAGACAAGGTTGAAATTGGACCGAATTGGCTGTCACATGATTGCTTCTGCCCAATGACAATTTGGGCTTTAATCAAAAGAAGCCACTGTCTGTTTGATTGATCCAAAAAAGTCGGGAAGGAACGCCTCATTGGGGGCCAGCGAGGCTTTATTTACACTTTTTTCAGGGCAAAAATACCTATATGTGGGTGTGGGTTAGGGATGCCTGGGAGTGCGTGGGGGCGAGGGTGCCTGCCTGCCTCCTGATCAGCACGGATCTGGTGTGTGCGCCTGGCAGTGTGTGTGAGTGTGTGAGTGCGTGCGAGTGGTGAGCCCTGCAGCCGGTCCCGGCGGCAGCTGCCCTCTGCCTCCCCCGCACACTCCGCGCATTGTTTGGGACTGTCGGGAAGACGCCTCGCACCTCACAAATCATTTAAGCACCTCAGTCTGACGCCTGCAGTCATTAACAAAGTAATCCATTAATCTTAAAGTTTTGACACCCGAGGGCCCCGCATCCCAACCACATAAGTTCTGCTGAGGCAGGAGGAAGAAGCAGAGGGAGAGGGTAGATGAGACAGAGAGAGGAAAGGGCGGGGGCGGGGTGGGGGGGACAGAAAGAGAGAGAAGGATTCTTTTGGGGGGTTCCTCCCTTTTATTTCCCTTTTCCTCCTCCGCCATAAACCATTTCCTGGATCTCAGAACTGGTCTGTCTGTTTTCCTTCCCGTCTGTCTGTCTTTCCCTCTTTTTTCCCCTCCCCTCCTCCCTGTCTCTCCTCTGTCCACCTCTCCTCCCCCCACTTCCCTCAGGCCCTCGCCCCCCCCCCCCCCAAAGCCCA